TGAGACTAATCGGGTCGCAGATGCCCTATCCCGGCGCCCTGACCACGACCAGGAGCATATCCAGCTCTCTTCCATCTCGGTCAGCACCGTCCACCACTCGGTGATCGACGAGTTTCGCACTCAGTACCGCCACTGCCCTGACTATCGCGACATCCACGCGACCCTTCGGAGTGGCAAGACCGTCCCGAACTACTCTCTCAGGGACAACGGTCTTGTGTTGTGGCATGGTTCACAGGGCACCAGAGAGCCCCGTATTTGTGTTCCCTCCACTGGACAGCTACGTGTCCGAGCAGTAGCAGAGTTCCATGACCAGGCAGCTGCCGGTCATATGGGTTTCCACAAGACGTTGGCTCGTGTGAGCCGCCTGTACGTCTGGCCAAAGCGCAAGGACTTTGTGAAGGACTACGTCGCAGAGTGTCCCACCTGTCAGGAGGTGAACAGTGCGAACCACCTACCTTATGGTTTGCTCCAGCCTCTTCCTATCCCTGAGGGTCGTTGGCAGTCCATCTCGATGGACTTTATCGGCCCTCTTCGACCTGCGACCCCCCGCGGTCATGATGCTATCCTGGTCGTCGTCGATCGCTTCACGAAGCGTGCACGCTTTGTTCCGTGCCGATATGCCATCAGTGCACGTGAGGTCGCCGACATCGTATTTGACCGAGTCGTGCGTGACCACGGCTTACCTCTGAGCATCATATCTGACCGTGACCTGCGCTTTACCAGCCGATTCTGGCGACGGCTTCACGAGGTGTATGACACTCAGCTCCGCTTCTCCTCGTCTTACCATCCTCAGACTGATGGTCAGACCGAGATCACGAACAGGACTCTCGGGGATATTCTCCGAAAGATTGTTCATGACGACCAGCAGTGGGATCTCCATCTTGCCCACGCGGAGATAGCTTACAACCACGTCGTCTCGCCAGCCACGGGGATGTCGCCTTACTATTGCGACCTTGGCTATCACCCGCGTGTTCCCGCGGACTTCCTTCGACCGTCCCAGATGCACCCCGACACGAGTTGTCCCGCGCTGGATGATTGGGTTGCACACATGACGTCGATTATGAAGACCGCACATGAGCACATAGCTGCTTTCCAGACTCGCATGGCAGCACGTGCGAACCGATCGAGGATGGATCACCCATTCAAGGTCGGTGATGATGTGCTTATCGACGCCCGCCACTTACAGCTCGAAGCGGACACGCTTCGCAAGTTTCAGCGTCGCTTCTTTGGCCCATGCCGCATCCTCCAGGCCGTCGGTTCTGATACGGCATCTAGCCTGGTCAACTTTCGTGTGAAGCTGCCCGACTACCTACGCCAGGCTCGTGTGCATGATGTCTACCACGTCTCGTTACTGCGTCCTTACCGCAGACCGCCTGAGTGTTTCGCTGGACGACCATACGAGCGCCCTCCACCCATCATGGTGGACGGCCACGAGGAGTTCCTCGTTTCAGACATCATTGGTCGCCGAGTCACCGACGACAACCCTCCCCACGTCGAGTATCTCGTACGTTGGAAGGGTTACCCTGATGAGGAGGCTACCTGGGAGCCCCTCGAGCACTTGGAGCACGCTCGCATGTTGGAGCGTGCCTATGACCGTGCTCGTCGTGCTGGGTTCACTGCTCCTCCTCAGCCCACTGACCCTCCTCCTTCTCCTCCGGCTGAGGAGACCGCTGAAGTTGAGCCTCCTCGATCTGAGGCAGACCTTCAGCAGCAGCCGGATGCTTCTGAGCGTCCACAGCGCACTCGTCGTCGTCCTGCTCGATATGACGATTGACTCTGACTTACCTTCCCACGTCTTTGACTTCTCAGTACTCCATCCACATCAGTTTTGCTACTTCAGCTCGTCGACGCTGCGGCTCTCCCATGACGGCATTCCGGACTTCTCATCGTGGACGTCATCGGCAACTTCATGGACTTCATCACGATGAGCTCTGCCTACTTCAGACGTCGCCAGTCTCTTACCACTCTACCCTGTACAGTACCCTGCTTGTGTCGCATGATGGTCTCCCTTTAGCCGGGTTCCTCTGAGTTGGGCTCTCCCTTGGTATACGCATAGGCATCGGGACCGTAGCGTTGCCCTGGCTTCCCATCTTACGGATCCAGCTCCGACTTCCCTCACTTTAGGAGTCATTTGCATGATTCCCTTACCCATCATCTTTCTACCCTTCGCCGGCCCTCACGCCCTAGTTAGGCGGCCCCGCATGCTTCATCTAGGTGCGCCCAGTATACCAAGCTCCCTTGTTCCCTTGCATGGTCGACCCTCCATAGCGGTCACCCCTTAGTCAAGCATTACCCGCCCTGATGGTCTATCTGTTAGGGTCGTTGGTTCTGTTCGCTCCCAGTTCCCTACCCTCATTGAGCCTGATGACATGTGTTTTCCCCTGTCACTATGTGTGGATGCCCTTAGGAGTTTTCGACCCCTAGGCTGCATTCGCCACCCTCAGAGACCATCCCACCCTTTGGTGTGCGACACACTTCTCATGTGACATATGGTTGTCTTGTTGATTGCTTTGTTGCTCTCAGACTGAGGCTACTGCCTCCGACGTTTCTAGGATTTAGCTGTTCTGCTTTTGCTGTTCTTAGGACTTATACACTAGTCAGTTGTTACCAGACTGAGGCTAGTGCCTCCACCATTCTAGGATCTAGTTGTCACTACTTTTTGCTTTCCTAGGACATGTATGTTAGTTAGTTGCTCCTACTTTCACTTAGG